GAGGTAGTGTGTCCAGGCGAGGATATTCGTGAGGTTGCACCCTGTGTTGTATGGATGTGTGCACAGGTCCAAAGTAGCTCTGTGCACTCAGTGGAGCATATGGAACCCTGGGTGATCTCTGGATGTGTGGGTCTCAGTGCCCCTCGGCAGGGGTTGTGAGCACACGTGTGTGTCTCTTGCCTGGGAGTTAGGGCATATGTATGTGCCTGGGTTAGAGTATGGAAACTCCTCAGAGGAGAAAGGAAACTGGCTCAGTAAATCATTGCAGGCTGCCCCTTGGGGACCTGAACCTCCTGCCAATGTCTCCCCATTAGCACCCAACGGTACATAGACCACATCTCACACCCACGGTCCACTCTGCCAATCACATGGAGAGGACCTTTGCTGTACACATGGGACACACATGCAGCCACACACCCCAGACTCAGCTCAGGAGACACACACATGCACACACGCACCAAGATTCACAGTGACATTAACAAAGAGAGACAATATGGGCACTTACAAGGCAGGCAGCACGTCTTCTGCACAAAGACGCACACCCACAGTCTCAGGCTCCCTACATAAACCCCTCGATGAGGCCACATCATCAGACACAGCTCCTCACACACACTCACACATGGCGAAGCCGGCCCCTGGCACAGACCGGGCTGGATAAATGTGGCCTTGATGACTGATGGGCACGCATCATTTTGTCACCTGGTGACGTGGCCCCTGGCACAAGTTTCCTGACAAAGACACACCTTGGTCACATTAGACTCACAGAGGACCCCAGAACCCCGCTATGGGCACACACCCTCTCCCGGTACAGATAGACACACACACAAAGCCTCCACCCTGGTGAGGGCACCTTCCATTTGGGAATGCCCAGAAGCCAGCGAGGCTGCTGGGTTCTGGGGTCCCATGGTCTGCCCACCCCTTCCTCCCCACCCTTCCCCCACTGGGGCCCAGCGCCAACCCTCTCCTCAGCCTGGCTGTCTCCCATTAATGCTGTTGAGAGGAACAAAGCCCATGTACAGGGATGGGGGTTGCTTCTTCCCAGGCTGGGCCTGGGGTCCCAGCCCCCTACTTCTCAGCGCCTGAGCCTCCAAACCAAGCCAGGACTTCCACATGCATCCATATGGACAGATGGAACTGAAGGGGTGAGGCAAAGGTCTGTGTCTCACTGTGAGGATGCGGTCAGATGTGGAGATTGCTTG